TGCTTTTCCAGCGGCTGCTGCAGCTCCCGCACTCCGCAGCCCCAAGGAGGTGCCAGCGATGCAGGGTCAGAGGGGGAGGAATCGGTTTATTTTAAGATACACGGTGTGTTGGAAGAAGGGATGTTTTAGCAGCCTGCAACAGAAACGTGAAACACGAACCCCGCGGTTACCTGCCCGCTCGGCCTTGGCCAGCCTTGCCGATGCTCAGAGTCCACACGAGTTTCTTGAGATAAGAAAAAAAATCCCAACAGAACCAACTGTACAACTTTTTACAGGGTGCTGAGCTGGGGGCCCTTTATACACGGCTGTACATGCTTGGGGTAACTAAGTGCAATTGCAGTGAGAGCGTCACCGTAGGCCACGAAGGAAGATGGCCTCGAAGCTGCAGCGAGGGGGAGCTGGGCCCCGGCACATTCAGCTTGGCGCCTTCCTGATATCCTGCAGCTTCGTTCACCAGGACACCGGGAGCGGAGCAGAGCCGGGTGATGGGGGTTGCTGGACACCGAGCTCCCTCCTCGCACAGGGAAGCGGCTGCCCATCGGGGCGGCCGCAGTTTGTCCCAGTTCTGCTTTGTCCTGAGCTTTGCTGGGGCTCCTGTCCCCACAGCTCTGCCCGGGGCTCCCCATAGGGCTCCGTAGCAGCAAAACGGGGGCAGCCCCGTTCCTGGGGCCTCGCGGCAGGACACCCCGTCCCGTCCCGCGCCATCCAGGGCCACCGGCACTACCTCCTCTTGCGCATGCAGGTCTCCAGCCTGCCCAGCTCCTCGTAGGCCTGGTAGAAGATGTCGAAGTCCCTGGCGCTCCAGCCCCTCCAGACAGCCAGGCACCACTCGCCGTGTTCGTTGGCGAAGCAGCAGACCACGGTGTCCTTCGCGACGAGAGCGGCGTCCACCAGCGTCCTGGGGAGGAGAGCGGAGTGGAGCGGAGCTGGCGGCCGGGCCGGGCGAGCGGCCCCGCGGCCTCTGCTCGCCAGCCAGCGACGCTCCTTTTACAAGCTGCAAATCCTCGAGCAAGGAGGACGCGGTGAGGAGAGGAACTGGAAACTCTGCCGTGGCGAGAGCACGCAGGGCCCCGGGGGGAGGCCCTGGAAGGGATTCGGGTGCCTCAGCATGCGGCTAGGTGTGTGCCATGACATTTCGAAAGGGCTGTTAAGCCGATTCCTTAAATCCACGCCTGATCCCAACCTCACCTGCTGCCAGCTGGG